CCTGACACTGCCAGGAGGGATTCCTGATGCAGAGCTGGGAGTGAGCCCTGAGCATTACTGGATATGGTCCCCAAACAAAACAAAACAAAACAAAAATGACAGTGGTAATGTAAACTCTTCAAACTGTGGGAATGGTGTGTTTTGGGAGGGCGGGGCAAGGCTTAGAGATCCCAAAAGGCTTCAGCTTGCCAGTGAGCAGGGATCAGAGAATTTAGTTTGGCCTCCAGGGGCCTGTTGCATGCACTAGACCAGTAATTTGCTAAAAGGGCTACTTGTAGTTAAGAAAAAAAATAGTGAACAACTTAGACATCTTAAACCACCAGTAGCTCAAGGGATATAAAAATGTATGACTATGATTAGATCCCTGGTTGATCATGGAAGAACTACATGTATTCCATTATATATATCGCATCTTTGATTTTATTTCTGGACACAGGAGAGCCCTTAAACAATTTGGATCAAAATCAAGCTAGTTATCAGCTCATGGCTCCATTAAAATTCCATCTGCTTATATTAGAAAAAAAAATTCTGAAGGTGGTTTTTTTAATCTTAGATCTAAGGTTGCAAACAGCATTAACCTGAATGCAGAACATGGTCAGTCAGTTATAAATCACATGGCATTAAACAAACCGTGGCAGTAATTGAAAATTATGTTCTCCTTTCCTATACTTAGCTGTGAAAATATTTTAACAAGTTGGCATTGCTACTTGCAACTTTTACATCTGTTGTTTCTTTTCAGGATTATTTTTTAGTATTTAAAGACGGGATTCTTTGAAAAGCATGGCGAGTCAGAAACGTGGTGTTAGATAGTACATGTGGAGCACTTTACAGATGGGGACGTTCGTGAATCGCATGGCTTCAGGAGACTGGCTTATTCCCCATTCTGCTGTTAAGTAGGAGAGGCTGCTATTTCCTGGGTGTCTGGAAAACATTTGTCCTTTACTGAAATCCTTTCCTCATTCTGTGAAATTGTGTCGCGTGGATCGGCTTTGCTGGTGTGGCTGACGGCAGGCTCTCAGTGCGACTCTCACTGTACTCAAATTTATCAGCATCTTTATCAGCATCTGTCATTTGAGCCTTGAGGCTCCAGCTGTTCTCCCTCCTGCTCCTCTCTCCTGCCTTGAGTCATTTTCATGGAAGCTTTGGAGGTGGAACGAGAGATGGGACGCATTGCTTTTTCTGCTTCCCTTTTGACTGATTTTCGGGGACAGGCAGTGAAATGTGCTTTCTTTTCAGATCATGGACATTATGCCTGAACCAAGTTTTCTATGCAGAAGTTATATTCTGCATTCTTCCCCACTGCTCCCACTTCCGATACTTTCTGATTTTTTTTTTCCAAAAACAGACACCACACCATGCTTCTCCCATCCTCATGGTGTTTCACTAACAAAAATTTAAAAAAATGTAAATGATGGAGAATGGGCACTGGTGGAGGGACGGGTACTGGATCATTGTATAACTGAAACCCAAACACAAAAATTTTTAAGTCTACAACTGTACCTCATGGTGTTTCACTAATAAAAATTAAAAAAAAAAGTGAAGGATGGTTACATAGAGGCTGAAATTAAAAAAAAAAAAAACAAACAGGGACCTCACCCAAGGAGCCTGGGAACCGGATGTGCTGGGGATTGAACCCAGAGCACTGCTATTTGTGCTCTACTGTATGTTATCTCCCAGGCCCAACAGACAGTGTTTTCGAGGCTAGAGCGTATTCCATTGCCTTCGTGTTGTGGTAATTTAACGTTGTCCACTATTCCCCTCCTCCTATTTCAGCAATCCCTCATACCCAGTTTGGAGCATATAACTTTCCATCCTGCTTTATCCCTAGATTCTGGGTACTAAATTCTCTGAGGAATGTTCTTTTTTTCTTAAAAATTTTGTTCCTCAGAGGGAGGTGTTTTGGTTATAAATACCTTTAAAGAATAAACAAAATTCCCAGAGGATAAAAAAAGGCAGAGCCGTGGTAACTGCGTAAAGCCTAAATGACAGGGTCTAGTTAGATGAAGTGCAGTACTGTAATGTCTTAGAGATGATGCAAATGGACAGTGGGCTAATGGTGATTCTGATCAGAATGAACTTAAGTTTGTTAGATTAGTTAAGGAAACATGCCCCATAGGAAGCAGCTATGTGGGTGTTAATATATGTTTATGACCATAGCCAAAATTAAAGAGGTTTGTAGGAAATCAACTATAAAGCAATGAATATAAAGACATACGGGCTGGAGCGATAGCACAGTGGTAGGGCGTTTGCCTTGCACGCAGCCAACATGGCCGACCCGAGTTCGATTCCTCCGCCCCTCTCGGAGAGCCCGGCAAGCTACCGAGAGTATCTCACCCGCACGGCAAAGCCTGGCAAGCTTCCTGTGACGTATTCGCTATGCCAAACACAGTAACAACAAGTCTCACGATGGAGATGTTACTGGGCCCGCTCGAGCAAATCGATGAATAACGGGAAGACCGTGACCGTGATGAAGACATACAAATAGCTCATGGTTTTATACTGAAATTCAGCATTTTAGATTTTTTTAAAATTCAAACATAACTTTGAAATTCAATTTGAAATTCAAATTTAAACATAAAATGACTTTTGCCATTTTTCTTTTGAAGCCTTAACCCCTTGGTCTCATGAAACATTTTCTTAATTTTCAATTCAACACTTACATATTTTTATTTATTTATTTTTATGGCACATATTTTTAATTAGGTAAAATTAAAGTACATTTTTTTATTAGGTGAAAATTAAAACACATTCCTCAGGAAATATTCAGTTTTCTTTCTTTTAGAAAATTTCACCCCAAGCCAGTCTCTATTGTCTGACTTCCTAGATTAGGGAAGTTCCCTTATTGACCTTCCCATGACACCTTCCATATTCCCCTTCCTTACGTCTCTCTCTTGTTGACTGTCATGTTTCCTAATCTAGCTCCACCTAGATGGAGAAATGCCTATGTGTTTATTCAAGTGCTGAAACAGTGACTAGCATGAAATGTTCATAATTGTTGCGTTAATTGACTAAATCCTACCTATCTAGTACTCTCTCTCCTGGGAGAATGGACACTCCACCTAATTAAAAAAATGTCTGCCTGTTGAATTGAAAATTAAGAGAACATTAGTTTCATGAGACCAAGGGGTTAAGACTTTCAAAGAAAAATAAGGAAAGTCAGTTTCAGGTGTTTTGTGAACTAAGAGAAATACTTGTTACATTTTTCTCCTGGAAGCCTCCACCACTCCTCTTCAATGACATTGTGCCCATCACACAAAAACAACTTTCCTTGCCTTAGATATTTCTGTTGTAATGGTGCTCTGGGACCATACGCAGGGCTGGGGATCAAACCCAGGTACACCGGGTAAAGACAAGTGCCTTACCTGCCATCCTCTCTCTCCAGCCCCGCCCTTGCAAACATGATTTCTTTTTATCTCTAAGTTCCAGTCGCCCCCTCCTCCCTCCCTGCTATCTCTTCGGTGCGACTTTAAGTTCCGGCAAGTTCCTGGATAGTTGGTAATTGAAAAAGTTTCACATGTGCAAATCCAGACTTATGAAACGATCTGGAGGACCGGCAAGGGTCACTAAATTCTTTAAAATCGTAAGCAATCTAGTCCAGCCTGCAAGAGAAACTGCAGTTTATCAAACCACACGGAAACACGGTGGCGGAACACCTCTGCTTTCTGAATGTTGAAGGAAAAGAATAAGGAGAATGTCAGGCAGGACGAGCTCATGTCCTATGCCACCAGGCCTCTGTTCCAGCTTTTCTTCTTAACTTCCCACTGCTTTCTCTGCACCCAAACTACCTCCAACCTTAAGAGCAGGCGAGGGAACCGAGACCTCAGACCTTTGTCTTTTTCCTTCTCAAACTCAGCAGCAGGGGAAGATCGTTTCCGGGGTCAGAGGATTTCCACCAATTACATGCTGCAGCTTTACAAGTTAGAATTTCCAGACACTGCCGGTCTTCCCTGGCTTTGGGGAAAAAAGAAAAAAAAAAACGGGGAAAAGGTGAAACCGGCGCAGTGGCCCGCCGGCTGCTATTCTGTGGGTACGGGGCGTGCATTTGTGCCCGGTCCCAGCAGGTGAGGACCGGGATCGTCCTCCGTCTGGAAGTTCTTCAAGCGGGAACTTCCCAGAAGCAAGGGCAAAGAAAGTTTCTTTTTTTTTTTTTTTGACAAGCCCGGGAATCGGGCGGGCTCGGCAGAAAGTTAAAAGGAGAAGAACTTTCCTCGGGACGGAGTTCAACAGCAGAGGGCATAATCCCTTCGGTTCTGGGCCAGCGGTGGGCGGCAGGGAGAGGGGCGGGGAGGGTGGAGGGGGAGGGCCTCGGGGCGTGTCTGGGATTCGTAGTTCCTTCCCGGCCAGCCTGGCCGGGTCCGCACGCGCGCGGAACTACAACTCCCAGCAGCCCTCGCGCGGCGGCCCTCCGCGCCCCGCCCTCCCGGTCTGCGGCGGGCGCCGGAGCCCCCTCCCTTTCCCCCTCCCCTCCCCGGGGGCCCGGGCCGGGCCCCGCGCCGCCCTCGCACGCACGCGTCACGTTTGTTTACCCCGGAGCCCCGCCTCCCCGGGCGCCCCTCCCCGCCCCCACCCCCCACCCCCGGGTGCCCGCGCTCCCCGCGCCGCCTCCCGAGCCCGCCGCCGCCGCCGATGCATATGCATGAGGCCCGCGAGGCGGTCCCGGCGCGCCGGCGGCGGGTGATTAATATGCAATAAGCCGGGCTGCGCGGCGGGTCCGCCCGCGCGAGGCAGGGGGTGGGGAGGCCGCGGGCGGGAGGGCGTGTGAGCGCGCGCGAGTGTGTGAGTGTGGGAGCGTGCGGGAGGAGGGAGGGAAGGAGGGAGCGCGCGGCGGCGGCGGCGGCGGCGGCGGCCGGGCGTTGCGGGATGGAACCCCGGGCCGGCGGCCGAACGCGCCGAAGCGCCACATAATCCCCCTCGGAACGGCCGCGCCGAACGCCCTTGGCTTCCCCGCGCCGCCCCCCGCCGCCCCCGGAGCCGGGGGCGCCGCGCGCAGCCCCCCGGCCATGGAGCCCGTCGCCGCCGCCGCCGCCGCCCCGGCCGCGCCGATCGCCGAGCCCGGCCGCGAGCCCCGGGCGGCGGCCCCCGCGGCGGCCGGGGCGCGGGCACAGGCCCCCGGAGAGGCGCCGGCGGGAGGCGCGGGGCGCCGGCGGCGGCCGCGCGGCGGCGGCGGCGGCGGCGGGGCGGCCCCGGGCCCGGGCCCCGGCGGCGGCGCCAACTCGCTGCTGCTGCGGCGCGGGCGGCTGAAGCGGAATCTGTCGGCGGCCGCCACCGCCGTGTCGTCCTCGTCGTCGGCGGCGGCGGCGGCCGCCTCGCGCTCGCCCTCGGCCGGCCTCGCGGCGTCCGGCCCGGCCTCGGCGGCGGCGCTGTGCACCCGCAGCCTGGACAGGAAGACGCTGCTGCTCAAGCCCCGGCAGATGCTGCCGCTGCAGCCGTCGGACCGCGACTGGGTGCGGCACCAGCTCCGGCGCGGCTGCGTGCACGTCTGCGACCGCCACCTGGCCGCCACGCACCTGCGCCCGGTGCTCTGCACGCTGGACACCACGGCCGCCGAGGTGGCGGCGCGCCTGCTGCAGGCCGGACCCCGGGGAGGCGGCGGCGGCGGCGCGCTCAAGGTGCCCGGCCGCGGCGCCCCCGACGTCGACGTCGGGGTCCCCCCGCGCGCGCCGCCCAACGACCTGCCGCTGCCCGGCTGGCCGCCCCGCGCCCCCCGCGCCGGCCCCGCCGCGCCCTCGGACTCTAGCCCCGGCCAGGCGGGCGCCCCGCGGCCCCCCGGCCCGGCCTCCGACGCCGAGAGCTTCAGCCCGAGCCCCGGCGCCGAGAGCGCGTCCGAGCGCCTGGACCCCTGCAGCGGCGGCGGCGGCGGCGGCGGCTCCTCCTCCGCCTCTTCCTCCTCCTCCTCCTCCTCCTCTTCGTCTTCGTCGTCCGAGGAGCTCGAGGCCGAGGCTGCCCCGACGGCGGCGGCGGCGGCGGCGGCGACGGCCCCGAGCCCGGCGCGCCCGGACGGTCGCTGCGCGCATCCTCGGTCCCCCGGAGCGGCCGCGCCAACGCCAACGCCAACGCCAACGCCAACAACGCCGCCGCAGCCCCGAGCCCCGGGGGGCGCCGACGGCCCGGCCGGGGCCGCGCGGGAGGAAAAGGGGGCGGCGGCCGAGAGGGCGCCCCCGCCGCCCACCCTGTACGTGCAGCTGCACGGAGAGACCACCCGGCGCCTGGAGGCGGACGAGAAGCCACTGCAGATCCAAAACGACTACCTCTTCCAGCTGGGCTTCGGGGAGCTGTGGCGGGTGCAGGAGGAGGGCATGGACTCGGAGATCGGCTGCCTCATCCGCTTCTACGCAGGTAAGGACCTGCCCCCCGCCACGGGTGCGCCGCGCCCTGCATCCCAGGGGCGACCCCCTCGCTTCTCGCCCCCGTCGCCCAGCCCGCGAGGAAACGCGGGGCCCCGACGGGCTTTGTTACTTCTTTGCAGCTTCCAGGAGCGCCCAGCCCGAGGGACCCCCCCCCCCCCCCCCCGGCCTGCATCCTCCCCAGTGGTCCTCCAGGGCTCAGGGGGGTGGGGAGCGGGGTGCTGGAGGTGGCAGGGACCCCCGGGAGGCTCGGGCGCCTGGGAGCAAGAGGGAGCTCCCCTTTCAGGCCTCTCCTCGCGGGCAAGCTGGGCTGGCTTGGCACAGACACGCAGGGATTTCAGGAAAACCCTCTCCGTCCTGGGAAAGGGACCGAGGCAGAGAGGCCCCTTGAGGTGGCCCCTCGTGGCTTACTGATGCTCTCCTTCAGCTTGTCCTGCTCACCCCCGGGCTCTCGGCCGAGCTCTCTTGCAGTTTTCTCCGCAAGTTTCATTCTTGCAGCAAAAGTGATTTTGTGTCTTTTCGCCCCACTTCCTCCCAGCCGGTATAGCCAGCACTGGGCGTTTTGCAGTGCGATTTGTGTGCTCACAGTGATTTCAAAGGGTCACTCTCAGAGGTGTGATCTGAAACCCTACACACACTCGTTCTTGGTTCTAGCTTGACGTGGTAAAAAAATTTTCATGCGACACATTCATCCTTTCCAGTTTTATTAATAGGCAAGGGGAGATTCTTAAGTGGCGTTGACTGATGTTATTCTTTGCACTCAAAATGTAGCCGATAGTATATTCGGGGCTCCATTTCCTGATTGTCCTCAGCGATTGCAATTTTGTTTAAAATAAAGTGGAGTTTATCCAAATAAAGTCAGGAGTAGTTTCCCCAGCTTCCCTGTCCTAGGTTGCCGGTGCTGGAGAAACACTTAATTGCCCTTGTTAATTCCATTCACGTATAACCTGCCACATTGTAGCTTAGTGGTTTGGTCCCATTTGTGTCTTAGTTACAATTTACTCTGCCAGGGAAAGAGAATCTTGACTCCCTCACTGAAATGTGCAAGACTAGGAAGCGTTCCTCGGAAGAAGTCCCTTAAAGTTTCACTGGTGATTTTCTCTTAAGTCTTTCAGTGGATTTTTTGTTGTTTCTGGCCACACCCATGTGTGCCCTGTGGCTACTCCCGGCCTGGTGGAGAAGGACTGTTTCAGGCCTGGGCATTGAACCCGGCTCCCACATGGCAAAGTGTGAGCCATTTCCCTGGCTCTTCGAGCCATTATTTCCCTGGCCCTTTAAAGTAAAATTTAAATTAATTTTTCGCCTATAAGGAAAGCCGGATAGTAATAGAACTGCATATGCGGTATCTGAAGGTAATAGTCTGGCTGGGTGACATGCCTTTGAAAGTTTTTGATGTTAGGAAATACGTGATTGTGTGTGTGTGTGTGTGTGTGTGTGTTTGTTTTTGGGTCACACCCAGTGGTGCTCTGTACTTAGTCCTGGCTCTGCACTGAGAGGCACTCCTGGCGGGGCCCAGGGATTGAGCTCAGGTGAGCCTTGCGCAAAGTGAGTGCCCTACCTGCTGTATGTTGCCCTGGCCCCTCGGAAGTAATTGATTTAAAAAAAAAATGTCAGCGCAACAACTGTATCCTCCCTTACAGCTCATTAATTTCTAAAATAGTGTTTTACAGAAGCATGGAATGGTAATCACAGTTGGATTATGTAATTATATGAAACTGAATGTAAGAATGATTAAATGCTATTTAACCAACCTTATTTTATTGAAAGAAAAAATTATATATTTAAGAAGGGATATATTAAATAAGGAACCTTGAATATACTCTTTACAAAAAGAACTTTACATTCCTTTTGGCATGATTGATGATGTAGTTAATGATAAATGTCATGAGAAAACACTTGGGGTGTCAGTCATGAAATCTGAATCTTTGATTTCCTCAAAGTGTTATTTCAAGAGTGTCTGAAAATTCTAAGTGGGTGATAGGCAGTTAAAAACTGATATTAATACAGAAGTTATAAATTCTCTTGTTAAATCTTAATATCTTTTTTTTTAAACAGTGGGAGTTGTGTCTTTTTGGACTTAGTTGATGTATTTTTGTATGCACAAGATAAAAATCCATAGGCCTCAGTATATGTGCGCAAAAAGTAGCTGAAAATGTGGGGAGCCACATGGACAGCCCAGTCTCTTCTCGAATTGGAAGCGCCTGTACAGGTGTCCGGCAAGGGGCCCTTGGCTTTGTGCCTGTTTACTTTGATTTTTTTACCAATTGAGCCTAAGTTACTACACCAGACATCTCATTGGCCGTAGAGCAAAATTCAGCATATGGCAAATCCACTTGAACTGCAAGGAAGTTTAGTTGCTAATCAACAGAAAGGCATTGTTATAAGGTGCTCCGACTTCAGGGACGTGGTGAGGATGTGATATATAGTGAAGAAGCTCAGTACCAAGTTAGAGCTTCCTACAGATTATTTTTATGCCTAGTGGAGGGACCACTTTGGTGTTAACTTTTTTCCTTATGAAGGACTCTTTGTTTGAAATTACCCTTTAAGTGTATGTTGTGTTTATACACACATAATAATTTCGCATTTACGTTTAAGTGTATTGCTGCGTTTTGCATTTCTTTTTATGTTGGCTTGGGAGTTGCTGTTGAATTTCCAGTGTTTAACTTGAATTTATGCACAGTGCTGTTTTTCTAGCCAGCTTTTCTTTTCTTTTCTTTTCTTTTCTTTTCTTTTTCCGACATGTTCTTAATCAACAGAGAACTTGAACTGTCTTGAGGGTCACCTTTCTATTAAATTTCACTATTGATAGCCTGATTCTAGATACTATTTAAAGGCTTTGAGTGCTATTTGTGATTGCTCTGAATATTTATATATTAAGCTGGGTGAAGTAAAATGAAAGTCTCCAGTGAACTAGAAGGAGTTGGACAAAGGCGATCTCTGATTACAGAGCTATTAATGAAAACTTGGTCTGAGACTGGCTGGAGCACCTGTCTGAGACAGCCATTCTCTGAGCTGACTTAAACTACGAAAACATTCACTGACTTCCTCTGAAGTTACTGATGTTAAGGATGGTCAGCACTTCTGCTGTTAGTTTTCTTTAAAAAGAAGCCATGTTAAATCTTATCTGAAGGAGAGTCTTTTTGTCTTTTTCTCTTTTGAAGGATAGTCATTTTGCATGAAAAAAATCAAATAACCTCTAGTGTAGGTTGCCTTATCTTAAGTTCTGGCCAATTACAACAATGAACGTGTGATTTGAACTTTCCATAGGCCATGCCACTGATCATGAACAGTGTTCACCTGCCTCTTTCATGTTTTTGGTTCAGATTCGCCACCTTTGGCGATCTAATTTTCTAGCTGTCCTAGTTCAAACTGCAGTGGGGAGGGGAGGTGTTGGCAGAACCCACTATGCCGAGTGGGTCTTGGACAAGACAATTTCATGTGTGATTTATTGGAATTGCAGAACAATCCCTTGTTCCTCTCAGGCTTCTTCTCTTTCTTTTCTTTTTTTTTTCTTCCAAGAACGATCCAGCTTTGCGTGGTTTCCTCTGTGGAAGCCAAGAGGGGTGGTTCAGCATTAGGCTGTAATATTGACGAGCGGGCTCTTATTACTGTAATTACAGCAGTATTGAGTAACCTGCTCGGGAGTCTGTGACACCAGTCTGTGCTTGAAGAGTCCTTTAATTTTAAAGAACAAAGGTCTTAACGTCATGTTTGCTGGTTGTATATTTAAATTTTATGTTTGTTGTTCTTATTTTAATGCAAGGTACAGGCTGTCTCTCCCTGAGGTGTGATAACATCTATTACTGTGTTGGGTCGTTATTCCCTAGAAATCTTGCAAGGGCTTTCACCTAAGCGGTCTCATCTGTCCCTCACAGCCCTCGCTGCGAGGAGGAGTAGATGTGAGCTGTCTCAGAGGGAGGACTCCCTGCATGGGGCGAGGTCTGACTCTGATGCCGGTGGTTCAGTCCTTGGTTCAGTCTTTGGCGGAACGGAGAACAGAGGGTTCAGACACTCCGTTTTGCAATTCATATCACTTTCCATGAATTCAGGCTGAATTTCATTTGCTCTTGAAATTTTCACTTACTTGCAGGCATTCAGAAAACGTTATTTTTGTTGGTAATGAGGTGCTATTATACTCTTTGTCCAAAGTGATATTCCTTGTGAAGTGTGGCTGGGCCTATTTTTATCTTGCTGCCTTATAATAAAACTTCAAGAACTGGGACCGGCAGATCAGTAACAATGCAAAAAGATTAGTAAGTGTTCAACATATAGCAGTTGTAAGTAATCATAGGAAATAAAGTTTACCTCATGATTTATTCTTTTCTGTAAGCATACCGCTTGTTTGCTGTCAATCTTTGAGTATAGTGATTTAACACTTGATCTGAGAAGTAGATATTTTTCTGAAGGTGGCGATATGATAATTGAAGTTCATTAAAACATAACTTTACATGTGAAGTATTGGAAATCGGCACCATGACTGGAATGCCTATTTTGCTTGCAGGAGGCCTGGATTTGCTCTCTGGTGCTGTGTGGTCCCCAAAACAGCACCATGAGCAACCTTGGCGGCCCAGAGCACCAATGGGTTTGGCCAGGCCCATCCCCCTCTAAAAAATATTCAAAGAAACTATCCACCATGAAAGATTAAAAACATTTAAAATATATAATTATTTGTATTTTGGTAATCAGCAGGGCATAATTGGCATTGGAGTGGTTTTGTCCAATTTTTATAATGTATGTGCCGCCGAGAACCACAGCGTAACCTGGTGTTTCTGGATTTCATGGGCATTTCTAAAATGGTGTGTCTTTTGTGTTTATTAGAATAAACGCAGGGAGAGGAGATGAGTGTAAATGAGTTTGTCAGGTGTTTGGTTAGAAGCCGGATCATTTTCTTGCCGTAGAGTGGTAGGTTCAAAGATTATTATTTTCCATAAGGTTTCAGGGTGTTTGGTTGTCCCTTATCTCTCTTTTCAGAATCTTGAGTTAGCTTTTGGT